TCGCCGTGCTGATTCCAAAAATATAAGTTGTTAATAGCGCCGGACCTATATTATCGAAATATTAGGTGAAAAACTCGAATTTTTTGAAAATTTGAAAAATTGCGATGTTTCAATGGGCGATTCTGGAAAAACGGTTAGAGTTATCGAAGAAACAATGCCCGAACTGACTTCTGCGGTCCGAAATCTACAAGAAAATGCATTTAGTTAAGTTTCGAAAATGTGAAATTTTGGCCGAAATTTGAAGAAGGGGGGACCATTGGAAAAATTTCATTATTGAAAAAGTTGTCTAAAAATTCTCAAAAAATTCAGGGAAATAGATCTCGCCGTGCTAATTCCAAATATATAGGGTGTTGATGGCACCGGACCGATATTATCGAAATATCAGTTGAGAAACTCGAATTTTTTGAAAATTTGAAAAATTGCGATGTTTCAATGGGCGATTCTGGAAAAACGGTTAGAGTTATCGAAGAAACAATGCCCGAACTGACTTCTGCGGTCCGAAATCTACAAGAAAATACATTTAGTTAAGTTTCGAAAATGTCAAAATTTGGCCGAAATTTGAAGAAGGGGGACCGTTGGAAAAATTTCATTTTTGAAAAAGTTGTCTAAAAATTGTGAAAAAATTCAGACACGTAGATCTCGACATGCTGATTCCAAAAATATAGGGTGTTAATGACACCGGACCGATATTATCGAAATATTAGGTGAGAAACTCGAATTTTTTGAAATTTTGAAAAATTGCGATGTTTCAGTGGGCGATTCTGGAAAAACGGTTAGAGTTATCGAAGAAACAATGCCCGAACTGACTTCTGCGGTCCGAAATCTACAAGAAAATGCATTTAGTTAAGTTTCGAAAATGTCAAAATTTGGCCGAAATTTGAAGAAGGGGAGACCATTGGAAAAATTTCATTTTTGAAAAAGATGTCTAAAAATTCTCAAAAAATTCAGGGAAATAGATCTCGCCGTGCTGATTCCAAAAATATAGGGTGTTAATGACACCGGACCGATATTATCGAAATAGTAGGTGAGAAACTCGAATTTTTTGAAATTTTGAAAAATTGCGATGTCTCAATGGGCGATTTTGGAAAAACGGTTAGAGTTATCGAAGAAACAATGCCCGAACTGACTTCTGCGGTCCGAAGTCTGCAAGAAAATGCATTTAGTTAAGTTTCGAAAATGTCAAAATTTGGCCGAAATTTGAAGAAGGGGGGACCATTGGAAAAATTTCATTATTGAAAAAGTTGTCTAAAAATTCTCAAAAAATTCAGGGAAATAGATCTCGCCGTGCTAATTCCAAATATATAGGGTGTTGATGGTGCTGGACCGATATTATCGAAATATTAGGTGAGAAACTCGAATTTTTTGAAATTTTGATAAATTGCGATGTTTCAATGGGCGATTTTGGAAAAACGGTTAGAGTTATCGAAGAAACAATGCCCGAACTGACTTCTGCGGTCCGAAATCTACAAGAAAATACATTTAGTTAAGTTTCGAAAATGTCAAAATTTGGCCGAAATTTGAAGAAGGGGGGACCGTTGGAAAAATTTCATTTTTGAAAAAGTTGTCTAAAAATTCTCAAAAAATTCAGGGAAATAGATCTCGCCGTGCTGATTCCAAAAATATAGGGTGTTAATGGCACAGGACCGAAATTATCCAAATATTAGGTGAGAAACTCGAATTTTTTGAAATTTTGAAAAATTGCCATGTTTCAATGGGCGATTCTGGAAAAACGGTTAGAGTTATCGAGGAAACAATGCCCGAACTGACTTCTGCGGTCCGAAATCTACAAGAAAATGCATTTAGTTAAGTTTCGAAAATGTCAAAATTTGGCCGAAATTTGAAGAAAGGGAGACCATTGGAAAAATTTCATTTGTGAAAAAGTTGTCTTAAAATTCTCAAAAAATTCAGGGAAATAGATCTCGCCGTGCTGATTCCAAAAATATAGGGTGTTAATGACACAGGACGGATATTATCGAAATATCAGTTGAGAAACTCGAATTTTTTGAAATTTTGAAAAATTGCGACGTTTCAATGGGCGATTCTGGAAAAACGGTTAGAGTTATCGAAGAAACAATGCCCGAACTGACTTCTGCGGTCCGAAATCTACAAGAAAATGCATTTAGTTAAGTTTCGAAAATATCAAAATTTGGCCGAAATTTGAAGAAGGGGGGACCATTGGAAAAATTTCATTTTTGAAAAAGATGTCTAAAAATTCTCAAAAAATTCAGGGAAATAGATCTCGCCGTGCTGATTCCAAAAATATAAGTTGTTAATAGCGCCGGACCTATATTATCGAAATATTAGGTGAAAAACTCGAATTTTTTGAAAATTTGAAAAATTGCAATGTTTCAATGGGCGATTCTGGAAAAACGGTTAGAGTTATCGAAGAAACAATGCCCGAACTGACTTCTGCGGTCCGAAATCTACAAGAAAATGCATTTAGTTAAGTTTCGAAAATGTGAAATTTTGGCCGAAATTTGAAGAAGGGGGGACCATTGGAAAAATTTCATTATTGAAAAAGTTGTCTAAAAATTCTCAAAAAATTCAGGGAAATAGATCTCGCCGTGCTAATTCCAAATATATAGGGTGTTGATGGTACCGGACCGATATTATCGAAATATTAGGTGAGAAACTCGAATTTTTTGAAATTTTGAAAAATTGCGATGTTTCAATGGGCAATTCTGGAAAAACGGTTAGAGTTATCGAAGAAACAATGCCCGAACTGACTTCTGCGGTCCGAAATCTACAAGAAAATGCATTTAGTTAAGTTTCGAAAATGTCAAAATTTGGCCGAAATTTGAAGAAGGGGGGACCGTTGGAAAAATTTCGTTTTTGAAAAAGTTGTCTAAAAATTCTCAAAAAATTCAGGGAAATAGATCTCGCCGTGCTGATTCCAAAAATATAGGGTGTTAATGACACCGAACCGATATTATCGAAATATTAGGTGAGAAACTCGAATTTTTTGAAATTTTGAAAAATTGCGATGTTTCAATAGGCGATTCTGGAAAAACGGTTAGAGTTATCGAAGAAACAATGCCCGAACTAACTTCAGCGGTCCGAAGTCTACAAGAAAATGCATTTAGTTAAGTTTCGAAAATGTGAAATTTTGGCCGAAATTTGAAGAAGGGGGGACCATTGGAAAAATTTCATTTTTGAAAAAGATGTCTAAAAATTCTCAAAAAATTCAGGGAAATAGATCTCGCCGTGCTAATTCCAAATATATAGGGTGTTGATGGCACCGGACCGATATTATCGAAATATTAGGTGAGAAACTCGAATTTTTTGAAATTTCGAAAAATTGCGATGTCTCAATGGGCGATTTTGGAAAAACGGTTAGAGTTATCGAAGAAACAATGCCCGAACTGACTTCTGCGGTCCGAAGTCTACAAGAAAATGCATTTAGTTAAGTTTCGAAAATGTGAAATTTTGGCCGAAATTTGAAGAAGGGGGGACCGTTGGAAAAATTTCGTTTTTGAAAAAGTTGTCTAAAAATTCTCAAAAAATTCAGGGAAATAGATCTCGCCGTGCTGATTCCAAAAATATAGGGTGTTAATGACACCGAACCGATATTATCGAAATATTAGGTGAGAAACTCGAATTTTTTGAAATTTTGAAAAATTGCGACATCGCAATCGCCTGTTGAAACATTTCAATGGGCGATTCTGGAAAAACGGTTAGAGTTATCGAAGAAACAATGCCCGAACTAACTTCAGCGGTCCGAAATCTACAAGAAAATGCATTTAGTTAAGTTTCGAAAATGTCAAAATTTGGCCGATATTTGAAGAAGGGGGGACCATTGGAAAAATTTCATTTGTAAAAAAGTTGTCTAGGGCTATATCATTTGCCAATATCAGTCTTATTTTAGCAGGTACTAGCCCCGCCCACCCACCCTCTCGTTTTTTAAAAGGTATGTGATTTGCCAAAATCATTTTTATCTTAGCAGGTACTAGCCCCGCCCACCCACCCTCTCTTTTCTTCAAGGGTATGTCATTTGCCAAAATCCCTGTTATCATAACATTTACTAGCACCACTCACCCGCCCTCTCTTTTCTTAGAGGGTATGTCATTTGCTAAAATCAGTTTTATCTGAACAAGTATTGATGACATACATTCTAAGAAAAGAAAGGGTGGGTGGGCGGGGCTAATACCTGCTAAGATAAGAGTGATTTTGGCAAATCACATACTTTCTAAAAAACGAGAGGGTGGGTGGGCGGGGCTAGTACCTGCTAAGGTACGACTGATTTTGGCAAATGAGATACCCTCTAAAAAAATGAGAGGGTGGGTGGGCGGAGCTACTACTAGCTAAGATAAGGCATGGGTGCTCTGCCTTATTCGTCGCGTATCTAACGCCCCTTTGTCGTCCAAAATTACACCCAAGTATTTGAGCTCATTACTTGGACTAATTTCGATATTCCTGATCTTAAAACTAACACTGTCCCTTTTCCTAGGACCGTATAATATAAGTGCTTTAGTATTCTCGATCGCTAGTTCCATCTGACAACCATATCAAGAGCTCTATTGGCTATGTATTCCACGGTTTCTGCCATAACTTTCAGTACCAGGTCATCCGCAAAACCTACCTGAGTCACTCCAAGTACCTTGAACCTTAGTAGATCGTAATAGAAGACGATCCAAAGCAACGGACCAAGAATTGAGCCCTGTGGTATCCCTGCCCGGATGTCCAACTCTATGTTAACAATGCAGATCTTCCTTCCTTCGAAATAACTCTGCATAAAGTTAATAAAATACGTGGAAATAATTTTGACCTGACCTGACCTGACCAGATGTGACCTGAATCTTACCTAGTTTAACTACAACAAACCTAATCTGTCGTCATTTTAAACAATTAGTGTCTTTGATCTGCGACACGCCATTCCACCTTAATGCATTTCATTGAAGCATTTTTCTTAAAATATGTTGGTCCTAATTTTAGCTATCGTTCCGTACGCCGTGTTCAAAACGATGCCAAATATTAAAAATAGTTTAAAATACACGACAGTCGCTCCGCGAGAGGCACGGTGTCTCCTAACAATAACAACGTGCATTTTGAAAAATGTGCGCATAAATTCGTCCTAAAACCAAAAATGTGGTGCGTCTATGTACTTTTGGTGTTTTTCGCAACACAGACATTGTTCGGACTCGGACAAGACAGAAAGGAAATCCTGTTCGGTAAGTCGAGTTGAACCCAATTGCGAGTGTAGCTAATTTTTGGCTTAGGTGGGGTGTTCGACGAGTCTTCTCAAAGTGATGAACACACTGACTTAACGGATCAAGAAGCATTCCAATTTGCTGTGTATTTAGCAAACAAGACGGGCGAGGAATACGGTCTTCAGTTTAAAGCTGGCACTGAGACTCCCTTTAGACATAATAGTGGACCCTTTAAGGCAAAACTAGCCGCTTGTTCGTTGATTGAGCAACAAGCGCTTGTTATTTTTGGACCAAAACATCCAGATGATATTAACATAGTGCAGTCGATCTGCGACTACAAAGACATAGCTCATGTGATTAACAGATGGGTTTATAACCCGTCTGAACACAGGAGCATCATCAATTTTTACCCACATTCGTCGTATTTATCTGAAGCTTATTTTGCGATTTTGAAGATGTCGGATTGGAAGAGCTTCACGCTGTTTTACGAAGACAACGAGAGTTTGTTAAGAATGGGGGATGTGTTGAATCAGGCAAAGGACGAAGGGATTGTGGTGGTGGTGAAGCAACTGGACGAAGTCGGGGATGGGATTTACAGGTACTTGTAGAAACCGTTTAAGTTACAACTACAACTACTAGTTTTTAGAACTACTCTTAAAGATGCGCTACGCTCCGGTGAGAAAAACTACGTTATAGACTGCAGCATCGAAATTCTAGAAGAGGTGTTGCGACAAGCACAACAAGTGGGTTTGCTTACAAGCCACTACAACCACTTTATCACAAATCTTGACCTACAAACCATAGAAAGTGAGCCGTTTCAGTACAGCGAAGCTAACATCACAGGGGTGTGTTCCCCCAGCTGCCCCAAATCGCAATAACGCAGTTATTTTCAGCTAAGAATCGTCGACCCTAACAACGAATTCACCCACATGAAGATCCAAGGTATAATCGGGTTTAACAAATACTTCGACGAGACTAAATTAAAAACCGAAGCGGCCCTTCTGATTGACTCGGTTGCGGTTTTGACTGAAGTTATTACAACAAAATTGTCCGTCCAAGACATGGCAATAGACGACGCTGGTTGCGATTCTCTAAAGTCTTCGAGAAACGGTTACACCATCTCCAATCACGTCAAAACGGTTAGTACCCATCCAAATTGTCACCCACTTAGTACGACTTTGTAGATGAAAAATTATGGAATGACTGGCATAATAGAATTTGATGGTAACGGTTTTCGAAGCAACTTTGATTTAGACGTGATCGCACTCAAAGAAAGCGGGTTTAATAAACTCGGGACTTGGAATTCCTCCAAAGGTTTAGCAATTATTGGTGAGAAACCTAAAGAGTTGGGTGAAGAAACTGTTAGTCTTCGGAATAAAACGTTTAAAGTGGTTACAGCTTTGGTACGAAGATGGTTAGTTTGAGAAAATTTTTGACCCGATTTTGTAGACGGCTCCATACACCATGTTGAAAGAAACACGAGACCAACTATTTGGTAACGACCGGTACGAAGGGTTCGCTATAGACATAATAGAAGAACTTGCCAAAATAGAAGGTTTCAATTATACGTTTGAAGTCGGAGGGACGACTGGTGCGAAAGACAAAGGAACGGGGAAATGGACTGGAATGCTTGGTCAAATAATAGACGGGGTTAGTATACCAAGCGTTAACCCGAGAAACTAAATTTTGCTTTAGACAGCAGATTTGGCCATTACTGACCTCACCATCACCGCCGAAAGAGAAGAAGCGGTTGACTTCACTTCCCCTTTTATGGATTTGGGTAATACAATTGTCTAACGTAGTATTTTCTAACCATGTTTTCTAGGCATCCAGATTCTCGCGCAGAAACCTAAAAACGCCCCTCCTAGTTTCTTCTCTTTCGCTGACCCTTTTGCCTTAGACACCTGGATGATGTTAGCTCTTGCTTACGTGATCGTATCGTTGTCTTTCTTCATCATGGGCCGACTTTGTCAAGAAGAATGGACCAACCCATACCCTTGTATCGAAGAACCGGAATTCCTCGTCAACCAGTTCAGTTTACAGAACTCTGGTTGGTTTGCTGCAGGTGCGCTTATGCAACAAGGAACAGAAATAGCCCCAATGTGAGTACCATTTTCCATGTTTCTAACCCAACTAGCGACTCGTAGAGCCGTTTCGACCAGAATGGTCACCGGAATGTGGTGGTTTTTCGTCCTGATTATGGTTTCGTCGTACACCGCAAACCTAGCGGCTTTCTTAGCCACCGAGAACCCAATCGAGTTATTCACGGATGTTTACTCCTTGGTGGACAACATGGAAAAAAACAACCTCAGAATGGGGGCGAAAGCCAAAGGCGCAACTGAAGGTTTCTTCAAAGGGAAAAACGACTCAGTTTTTAAAACAGTCGCCAAGTACATGCAAACCCACCCTAAAGACATGGTAACCGAAAACAAAGACGGCGTAAAACTGGCCGAAGATTTCAACAATTATGCTTTCTTCATGGAATCGACTTCGATAGAGTACGAAATTCAGAGGCACTGCAGCTTGCAGCAGTACGGCAAACTTTTAGACGACAAAGGCTATGGAATCGCGATGAAGAAAAGTAAGACTTGATAGTTGGAAAATTTTTGTTAAAGGACGTGTTTTAGATTCCACGTACCGCAAAACTCTAAGTATGGCGATTCTTAAGCTGCAGACCACTGGGGTGTTAGCTGATTTGAAACGAAAGTGGTGGGAGGAAAAGAGAGGTGGAGGGCAGTGTAACGTAAGTTGGTTAAAATGGGTGTGCTTTTTTGACTTTGATGTTTATACAGGCTGAAAGTGACGATGGAGGGACGCCTCCTTTAGGTGTTCAAAATGTCGAAGGTGTCTTTTATGTCACTATAGGTGGAACTATTTTGGCTGTGTTTCTAGTGATAGCTGAACTGTTGCTTTCCACGTACAAGATAAGTAAACGGGCGAAAGTGTCGTTCAAGGAAGCACTAGGTGTTGAAATGCGGGCCCTCTTAGATTTTAATAGTGACGTGAAGCCGACGGTTCGGGATAAATCTAAATCCGGGAGCAAATCCTCGAAAGGAACGGGCACTTCTAATAATAATCTTTTGACACCTGCTCCACAGTACGGGTTTATCCCGACCATCACTAGGGAGGAGCTGAAAGATTAAACACTACATTTTTGAGTTATTACTAGAGCTACATAGATAATTTCAATAAAATCTGGCTACTGTTTTGTCTAGTTTCTTAGTTTCACATAGGGCCGGTTGCATAAACGCAAATCAAATTTAATCTCTGATTAAGAACAATTGAAAAGAGAGGGAGGGTGGGCGGGGCTACATTTCGCCTTCTTTTTCTTAATATATGTAGCCATCTTTTCACAACAAGAAACTTAGAACATGTTTAAAATGGTACATTTTGGAAGGAAATATTATTGGGCGGAGCCTAATTGCAAAATCGATAATTCCTTATATGTATCTACAAATTTTCCATTTTAAACATATTTTAAGTTTCATGTTATGAAAAGAAGTCCTACACATATTAAAACAAAGAGGCAAAATATAAACCCCGCCCACCCACCCCATCTCAATTGTGATGAATTTTTTTATTATTAAAATCTTAAAACATGTTTAAAATGATAAATTTTTGTAAGGAAATATGGATTCTGCAAATAAGCTCCGCCCCTAGGTCTGCTATCAAATGAAACTTCACTATTGTTTAGATCAGGACAGGTATGGGTGGGGTTTAATATTTGGCTTTAATTTTTTCTTAGTATACATGGTTAGTATTCTCTGAATAACACGACGTTCAAAAGCATGTCTTACATGGTAATTTATTGTAGAAAAATAATAAAAATTTTGCAATTAAATTCTGCTCCTTTGGCCCTCGACGATTAAAAAAAAATCATCACAATCGAGATAGGGCGGGTGGGCGGGGCTTATATTTTCCCTTTTTTCTTAATATAAGTAGTCGCATTTTCAGAACAAAAACTTAAAACATGGTTAAAACGGTAAATTCTTGTAGACAAATATAGATCTTGCAATTAAGCCCCGTCCCTCGATCTGACAATAAATAAAAATTCATCACACTTGAGAATTGAAATTGGGGCGGGTGTGGGTGGGGTCTAATCTTTGGCGTTATTTTTTTCTTAATGTACCTAGTATTCTTTGACCAACACGATACTCAAAAACATGTTTTTAATTTCTCATAGAGAAATAAGGATTTTGCAGTTAAGCTCCGCCTTCTTGGCTCACGACGAATAAAAAAAAATCATCACAATTGATCACAAAATAGGGCGGGTGGGCGGGGCTATATTTTACCTTGTTTCTTAATGTGCGGTCATCTTTTCACAACAAAAAAACATAAAATATGTTTAAAATGGTAAATTTGTAGAGGGAAGTATCGATTACGCTCCGCCCCTCAGTCTGACAACGAATGAAAAATTCATCACGATTGAGAACGAGACGGATGGGTGGAGCTTCTCTTTTGGTTTTCTTTTTTAATTCATACATTTATTTTTCTTTGTATAACACGATTACTTAAGAACATATTTCACATGCTAATTTGTCGTAGAAAAATAAGATTTTACAATTAAACTTCGTCCCTCATTTGTTTGATTTTTCAACTTCTCGATTTTTCAGGATTTCATTTTTTAATATCTAGATTTTTCAATTCTTCAATTTTCCAATTTTTCCACTTCAATCTTTTTATTACTCGACTTTTAATTTTCAAATTATCCGATTTTTCGATTCTTCGGTTTTTGAATTTATCGATTTGTCAATTTGTTGATTCTTCAGTTTTCGGTTTTAGAATTTTTAAATTTTAGTTTTTTAAAATTTCAATTTCGGTTTTTTGATTTTTTAAGAAAAAAAAAGGCAAAATATAGACCCGCCCACCCATCTCATCTCAATTGTGATGGTTTTTTTATTCTTAGAAACTTAAAACACATTTAAAATGGTAAATTTTGGTAAAGAAATCTGGATTTTGCAATTAGGCTCCGCCCCTAGGTCTGCCAACGAATGAAACTTCATTACTGTTTAGATCAGGACACCTATGGCTGGAGCTTAATCTTGAACAATACGATACTCAAAAACATGTTTTTGAAGAATTTTGCAGTTAAGCTCCGCCTTCTTGGCTCACGACGAATAAAAAAAAATCATCCCAATTGAGATAGGGCGGGTGGGCGGGGCTACATTTTGCCTTGTTTTCTTAATATGTCAAGTCATCTTTTCACAACAAGAAACTTAAAACATGTTTAAAATGGTAAATCAGTATAGGGAAATATCGATTTTGCAATTACGCTCCGCCCCTCGCTCTTACAACGAATGAAAAACTTATCCCGATTGAGACCGAAAGGATAGGTGGGGCTTCTCTTTTGGGCTTTTCTTTTTTAGTTAATACATTTAATTTTCTTTGTATAACACGATTACTAAAGAACATTTTTCACATGGTAGTTTGTCGTAGAAAAATAAGAATTTTACAATTAAACTTCGCCTCTCATTTATTTGATTTTTCAACTTCTCGATTTTTCAGGATTTCATTTTTCAATATCTAGAATTTTCAATTCTTCAATTTTCCAATCTTTCCACTTCAGAACTTTCGATTTTATTATTACTCGATTTTTAATTTTCAAATTATTCGATTTTTCGATTCTTCGGTTTTTGAATTTATCTATTTGTCAATTTTCTGATTCTTCAGTATTCGGTTTTAGAATTTTTAAATTTTAGTTTTTTAAAATTTTAATTTCCGTTTTTTGATTTTTTACAATAATTATCCGATTTTTCAATTTTATTATTCTGTGAATTTTGGGTATCTCATTGCCAACTTCTTTTATTTTTCAGTTTGTCGATTTTTCCCGATATTTGAATTTTTCGAATGCTCAACATTTCGATTTTTCAGCTAATAATTTTTTATTTTTCCAATTTTTCGCTTTTTCAGTGTTTGATTTTTCCATTTCTCTATTTTCCAATTTTTCGACTTTTCTATATTTCACTTTTTCGATCTTAGAATTATTCGACTTCTATTTTTCCTTTAGTCGATTTTGGGATTCTTCGATTTTTGAAACTTCCAGTTTGTTAATTTTTCGATTCTTCAATTTTTCGACTGCAATGTTTAGGTTTCCATTCCGAATTTCCTATTTTTTGATTTTTCAATGTTACATTTTCCAGTTTTTCCCCTCGACGGATAAAAAAATTATCAGAATTGAGATAGGGTGGGTGAGCGAGTCTTATATATTGCCTTCTTTTTATTAATATACATAGCCATCTTTTCACAACAAGAAACTTAGAACATGTTTAAAATGGTACATTTTGGAAGGAAATATTAATGGGCGGAGCCTAATTGCAAAATCGATAATTCCTTATATCTACAAATTTTCCATTTTAAACATATTTTAAGTTTCATGTTATGAAAAGAAGTCCTACACATATTAAAACAAAGAGGCAAAATGTAAGCCCGCCCACCCGCCCTATCTCAATTGTGAAGATTTTTTTATTCGCCGTGAACCAAGTTTTTATAAAAATATTTATTTCTTTACACGAAACTAAAAACATGTTTTTGAGTTTCGTGTTGTTCAAAGAATACTATGTGTGTTAAGAAAAAAAAGGCAAAATATAAACCCCGCCCACCCACCCCATCTCAATTGTGATGAATTTTTTTATTATTAAAATCTTAAAACATGTTTAAAATGATAAATTTTTGTATATGGATTTTGCAAATAAGCTCCGCCCCTAGGTCTGCTATCAAATGAAACTTCACTATTGTATAGATCAGGACAGGTATGGGTGGGGTTTAATATTTGGCTTTAATTTTTTCTTAGTATACATGGTTAGTATTCTCTGAATAACACGACGTTCAAAAGCATGTCTTACATGGTAATTTATTGTAGAAAAATAATAAAAATTTTGCAATTAAATTCTGCTCCTTTGGCCTTCGACGATTAAAAAAAAAAATCATCACGATCGAGATAGTGCGGGTGGGCGGGGCTTATATTTTCCCTTTTTTCTTAATATAAGTCGCATTTTCAGAACAAAAACTTAAAACATGGTTAAAACGGTAAATTCTTGTAGACAAATATAGATCTTGCAATTAAGCCCCGTCCCTCGATCTGACAATAAATAAAAATTCATCACACTTGAGAATTGAAATTGGGGCGGGTGTGGGTGGGGTCTAATCTTTGGCGTTATTTTTTTCTTTCTATACATAGTATTCTTTGACCAACATGATACTCAAAAACTGTTTTTAATTTCTCATAGAGAAATAAGGATTTTGCAGTTAAGCTCCGCCTTCTTGGCTCACGACGAATAAAAAAAAATCATCACAATTGATCACAAAATAGGGCGGGTGGGCGGGGCTATATTTTACCTTGTTTCTTAATGTGCGGTCATCTTTTCACAACAAAAAAACATAAAACATGTTTAAAATGGTAAATTTGTAGAGGGAAATATCGATTACGCTCCGCCCCTCAGTCTGACAACGAATGAAAAATTCATCACGATTGAGAACGAGACGGATGGGTGGAGCTTCTCTTTTGGTTTTCTTTTTTAATTCGTACATTTATTTTTCTTTGTATAACACGATTACTTAAGAACATATTTCACATGCTAATTTGTCGTAGAAAAATAAGATTTTACAATTAAACTTCGTCCCTCATTTGTTTGATTTTTCAACTTCTCGATTTTTCAGGATTTCATTTTTTAATATCTAGATTTTTCAATTCTTCAATTTTCCAATTTTTCCACTTCAATCTTTTTATTAGTCGACTTTTAATTTTCAAATTATCCGATTTTTCGATTCTTCGGTTTTTGAATTTATCGATTTGTCAATTTGTTGATTCTTCAGTTTTCGGTTTTAGAATTTTTAAATTTTAGTTTTTTAAAATTTCAATTTCGGTTTTTTGATTTTTTAAGAAAAAAAAAGGCAAAATGTAGACCCCGCCCACCCATCTCATCAAACTTAAAACACATTTAAAATGGTAAATTTTGGTAAAGAAATCTGGATTTTGCAACTAGGCTCCGCCCCTAGGTCTGCCAACGAATGAAACTTCATTACTGTTTAGATCAGGACACCTATGGCTGGAGGTTAATCTTGAACAATACGATACTCAAAAACATGTTTTTAATTTCTCGCAGAGAAAGAAGAATTTTGCAGTTAAGCTCCGCCTTCTTGGCTCACGACGAATAAAAAAAAATCATCCCAATTGAGATAGGGCGGGTGGGCGGGGCTACATTTTGCCTTGTTTTCTTAATATGTCAACTCATCTTTTCACAACAAGAAACTTAAAACATGTTTAAAATGGTAAATCAGTATAGGGAAATATCGATTTTGCAATTACGCTCCGCCCCTCGCTCTTACAACGAATGAAAAACTTATCCCGATTGAGACCGAAAGGATAGGTGGGGCTTCTCTTTTGGGCTTTTCTTTTTTAGTTAATACATTTAATTTTCTTTGTATAACACGATTACTAAAGAACATTTTTCACATGGTAATTTGTCGTAGAAAAATAAGAATTTTACAATTAAACTTCGCCTCTCATTTATTTGATTTTTCAACTTCTCGATTTTTCAGGATTTCATTTTTCAATATCTAGATTTTTCAATTCTTTAATTTTCCAATTTTTCCACTTCAGAATTATTCGATTTTTCGATTCTTCGGTTTTTGAATTTATCTAATTGTCAATTTTCTCATTCTTCAGTATTCGGTTTTAGAATTTTTAAATTTTAGTTTTTTAAAATTTTAATTTCCGTTTTTTGATTTTTTACAATAATTATCCGATTTTTCAATTTTATTATTCTGTGAATTTTGGGTATCTCATTGCCAACTTCTTTTATTTTTCAGTTTCTCGATTTTTCCCGATATTTGAATTTTTCGAATGCTCAACATTTCGATTTTTCAGCTAATAATTTTTTATTTTTCCAATTTTTCGCTTTTTCAATGTTTGATTTTTCCATTTCTCTATTTTCCAATTTTTCGACTTTTCTATATTTCAATTTTTCGATCTTCGAATTATTCGACTTCTATTTTTCCTTTAGTCGATTTTTGGATTCTTCGATTTTTGAAACTTCCAGTTTGTTAATTTTTCGATTCTTCAATTTTTCGATTGCAATGTTTAGGTTTCCATGCCGAATTTCCTATTTTGATTTTTCAATGTTAAATTTTCCAGTTTTTCCCTTCGACGAATAAAAAAAATTATCAGAATTGAGATAGCCATCTTTTCACAACAAGGAACTTAGAACATGGCTAAAGTGGTACATTTTGGAAAGAAATATGGATCTTGCAATTGTGGGGCGGAGCCTAAATGGAAAATCGATATTTCCTTATACAAATTTTCCATTTTAAACATGTTTTAAGTTTCATGTTGTGAAAAAAAGTCTACACACAAGAAGGTTAATCAGAGATTAAATTTGATTTGCGTTTATGCAAATTGATCCACACCACATTGATCTAACAATCTCTTAGCAACCCAAACTGTTCCCGTCACTGCACAAGTGACACCCCAAACGATGAAAATATCCGACAACGCAACCTTGTAAGTCCACCCTTTACCAATTCCTCCACTAACCCATCACCCCTAGATGGGCAAAAATCGGCACCATCTCCAACGTGTCTTTCATCGGCAAGGACGTGCTCTTCTTCGGGTCGGGTTGCCACCTCATCTTCATCAACCTACTCACGAACGAAGAGCACCTCTACATGGCCAACAACTACGAAAACGGCGATGGTATCAGTTGTTACGTGGGTCATCGGACCCAGAACGTCTTCGCTTTTGCCGACACACGCACCTTTGCTACGGTTTTCATCAAGAGTTATCCAACTTTCGAAGAAATCCATCGTGTGAAGGATGAACATTCCAAAGGGTATATTAGTCTGGCTTTTTCCGACAGTTCTTCGTGTTTGGTGACTTTAGCGGATCTGCCGAATTTTAGCTTGACGGTGTGGAACTGGAGGATCGGGGAGAAGATAGCTAGCCAGGAAGGGGGGATTTTGATGAGGAACCAAAGCTTGAAGTAAGCAATAGTGGTGGAAGTTTGGGTGTAAAAGTGGTGTTTGTAGGTGTAGTTTTGGCGTTCCTGTTTTCTTTGCACAGTTGGGGTTGGATAGTAAGATGTTGGACATTTGGGATGTATATTTCTGTGGGAAAAAGTGCATTCTGACGCAGCATAACACCACGATTGACGGGGAGTGCGATAATTTTACTTCGGTTTTGTGGACCACAGAAGGCGGACTTTTTGTTCTGGATAGAAAAGGCTGTGTCTATACTGTAAACTCTAGTAGTGGAAGGTGAAACATCCACTAAAAGTCGATGGTTGCAGATGTTACCAGACCACCGTCTCGAAAAGGTAATTGAATGCACACAACCCGTCAACCACACTACCTCTTTCACATGGTACAAATCTGGAATAGCCGTTACAGGACCCAACAAAGAAATCCGAGTAAGTAGTTGCCAAAACCCCCACAAATCTAACAATTGTTTCAAAGCACTACAAAAAATCCGGCTCTTGGTCTATGGACTGGGCAATGATACCACCAGAACCACCACAGATTTTAATATCCAGATATGACCACCTAGTCGTCATCACTGAAAAGCAAAATATCATAACAGTGCACGTCGCACAGAACGAATTCAAATATATTAAAAAACACGAAAGTCAATTTAACGACTTCTGTATCGTGTTTCCAACGGGTACTCACATGATGGTACTAACACGCAACCACGCCATCAACTGCTACAAAATAGCAACCGGAGAACTGGTACGACCTGCTAATACCCGATCAATTCTTACACGCGCTTTCCAGATCAGTACTTTGGAACTAACCGGGCGAGCTTCAAAGATCGTCGAAAACCCGAAATTCCCATACGCCGCCGTGGGTTTCGAAAGCGGCATGGTCAAACTAATTTCCGCTTATTCCCCCAACAAACTAACAAAGTTGACCCAGTTTTTCCTAGCCCAACATCCTGTTGAAAGCATTTGTTTCAATGAATGTGGTACTGTTTTCGTGGTGGCGAATCTCACTGTTGGACGCTTCTTCATCATCGAGGTAACTGTGTACTTACTCATGGTACTTTTGTTAAAATGCAACCATCAAGGGTATTCCTGGAGGCGAGATGCAAATAATATCGACTTTCGTCACTAATCGTCAGATTGCCGACCAAATGATCATCGTTTCGCAAGACTGCTACAGGATTTTTATGATTCCGGTTACTTCAAGTATCTATGTTGCTGGAAATGTAGTACTGAGGTACTGCATTATCAAGAATAAAAGTATTGATATCAAACAGTACTCCTTCGAGGAAAAGAATCTTCTATGGATGAGAATTGTAGCCGTTTCGGGTTCTAGTAGAGATAGACTTTTCTACGTCATACCACAAGATGGTAGAACTATCAGTGAAGTGGAAATAAAAAAAGGGGTAAGTAGGAGTGACGCTTTTGTTACTAATAACACCTATTGTTTAAGGAAATAGTAGGAAAGATAACCCAAAAAATCGTTACTGGTCACCAGATGACAGACTTTTATCTTCGTCTAAACAAGACTTACTCTTTAACGTGGGGTTTCGATGGTTTAGTGATAGTTCGAGGTTCAGACTTCGCCACAAACATCGGAATTTGTTTACCGCACCATCGTGTTCACGCTGGTGTGCAAAAAGCCCAGATTGAACCCCTAGCTAAGTACATCGTCACTCTAGGACGAGAGGGCGTCCTGGCTTGCACACTGTTAACCGAAACTCAGGACAACTCCGAGCTGTCCCAACTACTCGAAACCATCCACAAATCAGACGACTTCAAGTTGATGTTCTCAAGACGAACTATAGGTTTCGTACCAAAAGGAAAATACGAAGGCAAGTGTTACCTCGAAGTACAAGAGTTGGAACGGATCGAGAAAGAGCGGATTAAGTGTGCATCCCAACGAACCACGCTTCTTCGCGAATTTCGCAGTATACAAACAGAAGTCCAGACGCTACTAACAGCCAACATCACAGGACCCGAAAACGAACAACTAAGCTTGAGCGAATTCGACATGCACGTTCAATTGCATACCCAGAAAGCCACAGAACACAAAAAACAACGCAAAGCGATGGAAGAGTACTTGAAGCAACTGATGGAAGCGCAGAATAAAGTGAGCGAATACATGATGGTGACTTTCTGGGACACGATGTTGGTACGAGCGACGGCAATCAAAGGAATTTTCGCAAAGTTTCAAGTACTCAACTATGTTTTGTTACCTCCGAATACCAACAGAGAAGTGGTTATGGAATGGATCAGGCAGCAGCGAAAACTGGAGGGTCACTTGAACGACATGAACTCGTTTCACGCTTGGGAGCCAATTCCGGAACAGTACTACCACAAGTACTTCTGATTAAACCATCTGATTTATCGTGTTTTAGGCAGCTGATTCAAATGCTATCGCAACCGCCAACTTTGCCTGCTAAAGACGAACATCTACAAGTGCTTTCGGCTCTAGAATTTGACGCACCTGAGTTGGAAGAACCGGAAGAAGACGTTGAAACGAAAATCGCGTTTTTTGGATCTGACCTAGCACGGTTTATCGAAATTCAAGACGTGCATTACGACCAAAACGAGCTACAAACGTACTTCCAAACCGACCTTCACTGGATTATCTCTAAGGTTTCGTACTACAATTTGGTACTACTAAAACTGAATTGAAGTTGTAGAGTGACTGCTACAAGATTAAGGAGTTCTTCAACGAAAAGTTTGATAAAGTGATGACCCAAAAGGTTAAAGAAATGTCGAACATTAAGCAAAAGAACGATCGTTTGAGGTACATCGTTTCAGAGTTGAATTATTTTTCCGAAGACAAAATTAGCATGAGGATTGAAGACCCGGAATGGAAACAAATCGAAAATCCACAGTTACTCATTGACGTGAAAGACGACGAAGTACCAATAACTCCGTATGTTTCACCAAGTGAGCAGGCGCTGTTGGATGCTAAGGCTGCCGAAGCCGAAAGAATACGACTCCTTTTATTGGCTGACGATTTTCGCGAAAGAGCGTTGATGAAGATGATGAACGGAGTACTGGAAGTGCGGTGGGAAGACGAGTTGAAGAAAGACGTCCCGTTACCGAAATGCATGGTGAGGAAATAGAGTGTCTAAATCTATCTAACAATTCCTTCCAGATTGAAAAAGAGCCAGAGAATTTTAACGAAGACGACTTGAAGGCGGTACGTGAGTACGAAGACAAAGTACAATTCTTGATGAGTGAAAGAGAGAGGTACAAAATGTTACTGAAAGCTGAATATGCAAAACTAGCACACTCTGTGAGAGACAACATCAAGAAATTCAACGGGAAACTAAGCGACTTGCTTTACTTGAGGCTTCAAATAGATTCAGCTGTAAGTCAAGAGAGTCTAAAAATCAACAGAATGAAGCTGTTTCAGTACACGAGAAAAGAAATGATAAAGAAGGAGCAGGAAATTCTGTAAGTAGAAACGTGACCCCTTTTTCCTTCTATGTTAGTGTTTCAGGCAAAAAATTTCCCAAAACGAAGAAGTCATATCCAGTTTGCAAAAACTTATGCACACGATTCACGACGCTGTCACTGAGTGTAGAAACTTCGTCGACTCTTTCCAAACCAAAGACAAACTTTTGGATCGCTCCTATAAGAAAGACTTCCAAGATATGTCTATAGTAGTCCAAGAACAAGTTTCCAAGTTGTTCAGGTACGGTTAATGTTAAAACTACCACCTCGTTCAAGTTACAACTTCCAGAAAACGCCCCAAAGTCAATTTTCGCTCTGTTAGTTCTAAAACAATGTTGAGCGAGCTCGCCAAATGCATTTTGACGAACACCAAGCCCACGCTAGGTCTAAATCATGAGTGTGTGGAGTTTCTGAAACAAATGGAGAGTTTGGATACCTATGTGGGGGTACCTGCGGTGGTGGACGAACACACCTACGCCGTCGTCTGCAAACACCGAAGACTGAGAATCGAGTACGAAATCAGAGTAAGTTGGTTACAAGTCTGGACTAGTTTTAACTTGTTGGTAGTTGAAGGGGGCTCAAACTGAGTTAGCGGAAGCAGAAGCTACGTCTGCGGCATTCCATAAGACGCTTCAACAGAAGAAGGAATTCAATGTGAAGTTGTACAACGACGTGGGGGAGTTGAGGCAATCGCTGATAAACCTCGTTTGTGACGACGACATGCAGATTGTTCTACCGCGCGGATTGGTGGAAATTCCGATGACTGGAAGCTTGGCGGATTTTAGCGACGCGGTGTTAGTCTGTCGGAAAGATGTCGAAGAAATCAATAGAATAATACTGGAATTCGGCGACAAGAAAATTAAAGCGCTCCAGAAGGGGATGAATTTTCATAGAAAAATTCTAGCGCTGGAGTGGGAGCACAAAAGGATGAGAATGTTGATACAAGACTTGCAAGAGAAGCTTATAGATATTGATGGCGTGAGGGTATGTTTTAACTACCATGTGTTAGCAAAAAGTGTAATAATTATATTGTTAGCTCACCAAAGAAATCCAGTTTTATTTGAAGACTAAAGACAAAGAAAAAACAATTCCGTTTGAAACGGAAGTTGACATGATCAAGGCTTCGTACGAGAACACGATTCAAGACAGAACGGACAAGGTCAATAAGATGAAAAAACAAATAAAGGGTATTAAAGATCACAACAAACAAATTGAAAAGAAAATAACTGATTTGAATGTGGATGTGTGCGAGTTTAATATCGTTAGGGATAAAGAGCTTGACCAGAAGGAGAGAGAGTGTATAGACACAAGGTAAGTTTTTGGAGGAGTTTTATTCAATTTAATCCTGTTTTTTAAGAATGAAAACTTTGCTGAAGAGATCAAAGATGGTGCAACAGATACAGGATAATCATCACGAGATACTAATGCTACAGACGGAACTGGAGCTCTTGAGACTGAAGACTTTCCCAACTCTTAAATATAAAGAAGTTTAAGCTTTTATTTTTACTATTATGTGTTAATGTAATTAGGAAATGTTTTTTTCTTGGAACCCGAAATTCATAAATAAATAGCTCCCGTGTATCATTGAGAAGTAAATATTAATGTGTAAAAAAAGTATTTTTTCTTGCGTATTTTGCATACATTATTTTTAATTACTATAATATCAAATTTCTGTGCATATAAATGCACATATTGACACGTTTTTTTTTTTGCATATAATTCCGACCTTTATTCATCACTTGCTTTCCTAAGCGTACATTAATTTCCGCACCCGTGCCAACCAATCACAACAAAGTACGTCGGCGCTAAATTCAAACGGCCCAAAGTCGAATATTATTGCTTTCATTTGTGTGGTCTGGGTATTTTTTTTTTTAATTCGCCTCGATTATTGAAGTTTTTAAGATTCTTAGCTTTTCGATTTTAGGATTTCTGAGCTTCTCGAATTTTATTTTGGAGTTCTTACGTTTTTAATTTTTTGTTGTCGATTTTTAATTCATCAGATTTTTCAGGTTTCAGTGTTATTCTTCAACTTTTGAAGTTTACAATTTGTTGATTTTTCTATTTCTAGAAAATTTTGTTTTCCGTATTTTTCTATTTCTCGATTTTTAATTAATCAGTTTTTTAATTTGCAATTCGATTTCTCAATTTTTAAATTGTTCGGTTTTTAAATGTCTCTTTTTCGATTTTTCAGTTTTTAATTTTTTGATTTTTCAATTTTTCAGTTTTACAGTTTTCCGATTTTTTCGTTTTTTAAAATTTCACTTTTAATAAGTTTGTCCTTTTGTTGAAAAATTAAAAACCGAAAAATTTTTGTTTTTTTTAATTGTTAATTTCTCGATTTCTCATTATGATTGTTATTTTTCAGTAAAATTTTAGTATGTTTCGATTTTTTAATTTGCAGATATTTTAATTTTGCGATTTTCCAAGTTGCTTTTTCATTTTTCGATTTTCCATCTTTTTATAATTTATCCGTTTTTTCGATTTTTCAATTTCTCAGTTTTTAATTTATGACTTTTTCAATGTTACAAATTTTCGATTTTACAGTTTCTATCTTTTTCTCAGTTGTTCCATTTTTTAATTGTTTTTTCGTTACCCAATTTTCAGTTTGCCATTTTTTTCAATTTTTCGATATTTCAAGTTTGGTTTTTCAATTTTTGATTTTCAATTTCTCATTTCTTAACTTTTTCCATTTTTAATTTTTTTTTTCAAATTTACAATTTTGTAATTGTTTCATTTTTACTTTTAAATTTTTCGGTTTTTCAGTGTTTCGTTTTTTCGATGTTACAAATTTTAATTTTTCCATGTTTCGTTTTCACAATTTCTTAATTTTAAAAATTTTTGAATTTTGAATTTTTTTTTTGTATTTTTGATTGCTTAATTTATAGAAGTTTTTGTGTTTCGTTTTTTCAATTTTTCACTTTCTCGATTTTTATTTAATCAGGTTTTTTCAGGCTTCAATATCACAATTTTTCGATTTTTTCAATTATCCCATTGTTCACTTTCTCAATTTTTTCATTTTTCGATTTTTCAATTTTTAAATTTTTCGATTTTTCAGTTTTTAAATCCCGTTTTTTCGTTTTTTCAAGTTTTCATTATTTTTTCAATTCTTCGATTTCTCAGTTTTTTGATTTTTCAATTCAATTCAAAATTTCGGTTTGAAAAAATTTGTCCTTTTGTTAAAGAATTAAAAAATCAAAAATCGAGAAAATGAAGAATTGAAAATTGAAAATTTGAAAATTTTATATCGAAAAACTGCAAAATTGTTTCTTTTTGTTGATTTTTTCAATGTCTCGATTTTTAATTATTTCGTTTTTTGATGTTTCAGTGTTACAATTTTCCGGTTTTTCGAAAGTTCAGTTTGAATAACTTTGTCCTTTTGTTGAACAATTAAAAAATGAAGAATTGAGAAAATGAAAAATTAAAAATCGAGAATTTGAAAAATTTTAATCGAAAAATTGCATAATTGCTTCGTTTGGTCGATTTTTCAATTTCTGAATTTTCAATTAATCAGGGTTTTGAGGTTTCAATATTACAATTTTTCGATTTTTCAATTATCCAATTCAGTTTCTCAATTTCTTCATTTTTCGATTTTTCAATTTTTCTATATTTCAAGTTTCATTTTAAAATCTTTGGATTTTGAGATTAAAATTTTTTGTATTTTTGAGTATTTCTTTTATTGAAATTTTTGTTTTTCGTTTTTTCAATTTTTCTATTTCTCGATTTTTAATTAATCAGTTTTTCAATTTGCAATTCGATTTCTCAATTTTTAAATTGTTCGGTTTTTTAATGTCTCTTTTTCGATTTTTCAGTTTTTAATTTTTTGATTTTTCAATTTTTCAGTTTTACAGTTTTCCGATTTTTTCGTTTTTTAAAATTTCACTTTTAATAAGTTTGTCCTTTTGTTGAAAAATTAAAAACCGAAAAATTTTTGTTTTTTTAATTGTTAATTTCTCGATTTGTCATTATGATTGTTATTTTTCAGTAAAATTTTTGTATGTTTCGATTTAAATTTGCAGATATTTTAATTTTGCGATTTTCCAAGTTGCTTTTTCATTTTTCGATTTTCCATCTTTTTATAATTTATCGTTTTTTCGATTTTTCAATTTTTCAGTTTTTAATTTATGACTTTTTCAATGTTACAAATTTTCGATTTTACAGTTTCTATCTTTTTCTCAGTTGTTCCATTTTTTAATTGTTTTTTCGTTACCCAATTTTCAGTTTGCCAATTTTTTTCAATTTTTCGATATTTCAAGTTTGGTTTTTCAATTTTTGATTTTCAATTTTTCATTTCTTGAATTTTTCCATTTATCATTTTTTTTTTTTTTTCAAATTTACAATTTTGTAATTGTTTCGTTTTTACTTTCAGTGTTTCGTTTTTTCGATGTTACAATTTTTTAATTTTTCCATGTTTCGTTTTCACAATTTCTTAACTTTTTAGTTTTCCGGTTTTCATTTAAAAATTTTTGAATTTTTATTTTTTTTTTTGTATTTTTGATTGTTTAATTTATAAAAGTTTTTGTTTTTCGTTTTTTCAATTATCCCATTGTTCATTTTCTCAATTTTTTCATTTTTCGATTTTTCAATTTTTTAATTTTTCGATATTTCAGTTTTTAAGTCCCGTTTTTTCGTTTTTTCAAGTTTTCATTATTTTTTCAATTCTTCGATTTCTCAGTTTTTTGATTTTTCAATTCAATTCAAAATTTCGGTTTGAATAAATTTGTTCTTTTGTTGAAGAATTAAAAAATGAAAAATCGAGAATTGCTTCGTTTTGTCAATTTTTCAGTTTCTCGATTTTTAATTAATCAGGGTTTTGAGGTTTCAATATTACAATTTTTCAATTTTTCTATAATTCAAGTTTCATTTTAAAATCTTTGGATTTTGACATTAATTTTTTTTGTATTTTTGAGTATTTCTTTTATTGAAATTTTTTGATTTTTCAATTTTTCAGTTTTACAGTTTTCCGATTTTTTCGTTTTTTAAAATTTCACTTTTAATAAGTTTGTCCTTTTGTTGAAAAATTAAAAACCGAAAAATTTGTGTTTTTTTTGTATTGTTAATTTCTCGATTTCTCATTATGATTGTTATTTTTCAGTAAAATTTTAGTATGTTTCGATTTTTTAATTTGCAGATATTTTCATTTTGCGATTTTCCAAGTTGCTTTTTCATTTTTCGATCTTCCATCTTTTTATAATTTATCGTTTTTTCGATTTTTCAATTTCTCAGTTTTTAATTTATGACTTTTTCAATGTTACAAATTTTCGATTTTACAGTTTCTATCTTTTTCTCAGTTGTTCCATTTTTAAATTGTTTTTTCGTTACCCAATTTTCAGTTTGGCAATTTTTTCAATTTTTCGATATTTCAAGTTTGGTTTTTCAATTTTTGATTTTCAATTTTTCATTTCTTAAGTTTTTCCATTTTTAATTTTTTTTTTCAAATTTACAATTTTGTAATTGTTTCATTTTTACTTTTAAATTTTTCGGTTTTTCAGTGTTTCGTTTTTTCGATGTTACAATTTTTTAATTTTTCCATATTTCGTTTTCACAATTTCTTAACTTTTTAGTTTTCCGGTTTTCATTTAAAAATTTTTGAATTTTGTTTTTTTTTGTATTGTTGATTGTTCAATTTATAGAAGTTTTTGTTTTTCGTTTTTTCAATTTTTCACTTTCTCGATTTTTATTTAATCAGGTTTTTTCAGGCTTCAATATCACAATTTTTCGATTTTTTTCAATTATCCCATTGCTCATTTTCTCAATTTTTTCCATTTTTCGATTTTTCAATTTTTAAATTCTTCCATATTTCAGTTTTTAAGTCCCGTTTTTTCGTTTTTTCAGTAAAATTTTTGTATGTTTCGAATTTTTAATTTGCAGATATTTTAATTTTGCGATTTTCCAAGTTGCTTTTTCATTTTTCGATTTTCCATCTTTTTATAATTTATCGTTTTTTCGATTTTTCAATTTCTCAGTTTTTAATTTATGACTTTTTCAATGTTACAAATTTTCGATTTTACAGTTTCTATCTTTTTCTCAGTCGTTCCATTTTTTAATTGTTCTTTCGTTACCCAATTTTCAGTTTGCCAATTTTTTCAATTTTTCGATATTTCAAGTTTGGTTTTTCAATTTTTGATTTTCAATTTTTCATTTCTTAAATTTTTCCATTTTTATTTTTTTTTTTTTTAATTTACAATTTTGTAATTGTTTCATTTTTACTTTTAAATTTTTCGGTTTTTCAGTGTTTCGTTTTTTCGATGTTACAATTTTTTCATTTTTCCATGTTTCGTTTTCACAATTTCTTAACTTTTTAGTTTTCCGGTTTTCATTTAAAAATTTTTGAATTTTGATTTTTTTTTTTGTATTTTTGATTGTTTAATTTATAGAAGTTTTTGTTTTTCGTTTTTTCAATTTTTCACTTTCTCGATTTTTATTTAATCAGGTTTTTTCAGGCTTCAATATCACAATTTTTCGATTTTTTCAATTATCCCATTGCTCATTTTCTAAATTTTTTCATTTTTCGATTTTTCAATTTTTAAATTTTTCGATATTTCAGTTTTTAAGTCCCGTTTTCTCGTCTTTTCAAGTTTTCA